TTAAAAATTGTTTTGCGCTTCGTTGATGACTTATCAATTGTTTTCATCAAGTAGAGTTTCTAAAATGTCTTTTTTGTGAAGATTTTTTTCATCCAAGTCTGACTTAACTCTTCTTAATTTTTTCATATTCCATAATTCATATACTTGCAATTCCCAGCGCTTACAAAATTTATCTTTTTCTGTCCTTGTGTCAAAATTTGTGGAATATAATGTAGTAATGCAAGATAAGTGACAATTCTCTTACACCTGACGAAACAAGTGCTTATTTTCAAATTCCTTGATTTTTTCGATAGTTAACCCCATTTTAGTTGCTTAAGGCTTCTCGAGTTGTTTTCAGTCTGATATGATTTTTTTGTTGCGTTATAAATTACGCTTACTTGATTTCTTTTTCTGTGCAACGAGGTGAAAAAAGTATCTTCTCAGCGTTCTACCCTAAATGAGGTTTGATTTCTTTATTGGTTTGGCATGCCAAGTTAAATGAACGGTATTTGTAAAATAAACAAGCATAGAAATTCGACGACAAGCAAATTAGACGATGTTAATAATAAAACGCTAGTTTAGGCGATATATTTTTGGTACACAACTAACGTTAAACTTCTTTTACTATCACCCATCTTAATCGATCCCTCTGTTACCCTCTGTATGGTACCTAGTAACGAATTGCCACCCCCTGTAGAGAAATAATTTAACGTTTAAGCATAATTGAATTTTGTACCTAGTAACGAATCTCCCCCATTCGCAAAGAGGGGGGGGGGGAGGGGGGAGCTATTAGAGATCCCTATCGTTTTTACTTATGATGAAGTCACATTTATACAGAAAGTTAGAATAACCTTAGAACAGATTTAAAATCATTATTAGAAACTGCTCATAAAATATAATCCAAATGGTAATACATTTGTAAAGTGCTTAAATTATACAGCTATTGTTTGTATTAACTTGATTTGAAGCTGAAACCAAAAGTATATCTGGAGAGCTGAAACCGAAAGTTAATTGTTGTCTGTAGAAAATTGTTGTTCTACGCCCGATAACAGGTAAATTTCGCCTAAAAATTGCGTAATATTAGTTCCTTTATTCCGTCTTCTAAATTCCTTTTTTCAAAATAACATCGTCTAATTTGCTTGTCGTCCAATTTCCTAGATCATTTTCACTGAGAACATCAACCTGTTATTTGTTCCACGTTTGTTTGTCTTTTCTCTAGTGACGGTTTCTTATTCAAAAATATAGACTACCAAATTAACCAGTGTTCAAATTCAATAGACAGCTAAGCCTAGTCATTAGATGTTGCTCCTGCAAATATTGACGCGGTTTACTTCCTTGAGGAGGCAGTTCGGTGAGTTATTCTCAATGGTACAGAAAGAAGTCTTGCTTTTATGTGCCAAGAAACAAAATGATTTTGTAGGTCGTGTGGTTTTTTCAATAAACTTTAATTATTATTCGCGCTGTATACGAAATTTGATTATTCGCGCTTTTGATGGTCAACTTTTGAAAATAATTTACCCAGCGGAGTGCAAAATATGCTCTCCATGAACGAAAATTGAAATTGCACGAAGTTGTTAGCTTTGGAATTAATCTTCAAGATGTTATTGTTCGTATAATGTTAAAAAAGTTGAACTAATCTGGATTGACCTTTTTCATATTTTGCCACTTTGGCAGAATTTTCTCTGACAATTTTTTCTGACTAGGTTTTAAAGATTCTGAAGAATTAAATGAATTTATGAAAGGTAGGATGAGCTCATATCATCCCCATCTAGAATGCCGTCTTCCGTTTTTGCGCTGCCGAACTAATTCTTGAAATATGGAAATGTGAAATTGACCAACCCCCTGCGTCCTCGAAGGATGGTTCGAATGCTTTTATCGCAAATTTCACTGCATTAACTAGATTTCGAAAAGTAGATTTCGAAGTCCAGTTTCCTCTCGAGTTACATAAAAGATGAATGGCATAAAAAAGCGTTGTTTGCTTTAAATTTTTTGAATATTTTTTGTTTTTACCCTTGCCATAAGCAATGGTGTTGCAACCGGGTTCTATTTTTTTTACCTGTAAAGAAATTTGTTTACCGAATGGACGAAATGGTAATCAATATCATTTGTTGAGTTATTAGCATGGTTTGTGTATGTGCACCTTAAGAGTTCTGTCAAGGCAAAACAGACTGTGCGCAAGTTTTTTTTTTTGGTAGAGTTTAGTTGTTGGAGGTTGGTCGGCCTTAATTCTGTTGTTTTTTTAATGATTTTTGAAAATCTTGCGATGATATTATAAGATTTTTTTTTTTGAAAAAGTTCAGGTCAACCTAACTGACCATTCTCAATTGAATTGAATAAAAAGCTTTTAATTTTGGTTATTTAACCGGCTCTATTTATCACATTTCTTCTTGTGCAGGTAATTGAGTTAAATTGTTTGCCTACTTCTTGGTAGAATTTTGGTGCATCAAGTTTTTTGACAACTGCTGGTTTTTGTTTTCATTGCTTTCGAGCTTAAATTGTTTGGATAGGTAATCGTTTTCTTCGATATGCCTGGGATAAAGCAAGACTTAGCCTAAAATTTGTTTGAAATATCATTTTGGTTTGCGCTATTTTTCCGAATAACCTTATTGTATATATGGTTTGCATAGAGATGAGATTAGAGAAGTGCAGACAAGTGAAGTTTCAGTTAAAGTTGGATTGAACTTTTTGCTCGTTTTCAATTCTTTATTTTTGCAGATGATTAAATAAACTTGCTGAACACACATTATATAAATTTTGCGAAACACGTGTTTTTCGTCTGTTTCTCTGAAATTGTTTTCATTTTCGATTTTGTTATTTCCGTCTTTGTCTATTTGCTAGCTTGAAATGCTCCGCTTCGCCTCTGTAGCTTTCATAAACTCCACTTTTTTTGTTTTTTAGACTCCACTTTCAAGCAGCAAATTTGTTAAAGGCTTAAAAAACTTTATTGACTTCAAAAAAATTTACCTATTGATCCATTTTTTCTCAAATAGTGTTAATTTTATCAAAAAGGGTCAATCTTGAATTTTTCTAAAAATTCGAAGAGCTTCAAGTCCATCTTTTCGTTTCTCTGAATTTCGAAGCTTGAAATTTTACAAAATGCATTTCAGCGTTTCTTTTCTGTTTACTTGCGTTCTTTGACAATTTTCCAACTGTCTGTTTGTGATGTTTATTTTAATTTTCTTTTTTTTTGCTGTTTATTCGGCATAAACGGTTTCCGCTAATTTAATTGAATTTAGAGGCATCATATTGCTTCGTATAATGACCAAAAAAAAGTCATTTATTTTTCTAAGACGGCGGGTTTGAGCAATTGTTTTTCAATTTTCATTGAAAAAAAAGTTTTTTTTTCTCGGCTCAACGGTTGTCTGCTCAAGAGTTTTTGGCTTTGTTGCCGTTTCGTTAGGTTTTTTTGCTTTTGATGCTGTTTCAACATTCAATAGTCTCAGCGTGTTTTGCCTGATATGAGTTTTATTTGACACATCAAGACTTAGAGTTGAAAATTTTAGTAGTTAAGTTTTTTTTCTTAAAAGTTTTCAAACTAACTGAGTTCGTCTCATTTTCTGTCGGCCAGTTTGCATTGCTTAGTTTGTTTCTTTTAGAATCAACGATCTGTTAGTTTTTGTTCGTAGCTGTTCGCATAGTTTGCAAACAGTTCTTTTTCAAACGGACACTATGAATTGAATTTTGCCAATTGTCTTTGTTTTAATGTTTTTGTTCTGAGTTTTGAAGAAAGTCACAGAATATTTGTGCTCGGGTGTTTTTTTTCTTCAGTTAAACTTAATTTTTAACTAGCAGTTTTTTTTGTATTTTTAAAAAAATCATTTGAAAGGTAGTGTTGTCTTGAGCTCAAATTTAAAACGATATTTCAACTTTGTTCATTTTTCGTGAAGTTACGGGGTTTAAAGATCGCCAATTTGGGACAATTAACGCTCGATATATTTGGCGCTACTAACGCGTAAGCAGAGGTTTAATTCGTCTTAGAAATTTTCCCGAATTAGCCGAAGCAGGCAATTTGTCATAATATCTACTTTAGTAGGAGTGAAATCTATCACGTTGTTCTGTATATGGCGTGTGGTGGGATGGTTTAGCAAAAATTTCCTAAAAAATGAAAATTTTTCATTTTTTTGAATTCATCAAAGTTTCAAGCGGACACTACTCCATAGATCTTAAAATGCAGTCGGAACACCCAGGGCTTCGTTATGATACGAGCAGTCTAGTGTTCAATGTGAAGTACATTCGATGAAATTTCTGCGGATTTCTAAAAAAAATCTATTCATGATTTTTGGCGCATCTGCTCTCATCTGCTACTGACCGAAGTTTTATAGGAAATATTTTTCTGCATCGCTAGTAATGCGAAGCGCTGCTTCGCGCTTTGATCTGAATCTTATAATTGATTTCTTAAGATTGGTTTTGTCTTCATTTTTTTCATTGTTTTTCTTTTTGCTGATAATACCTTAGCACCAGTTCTGCTTACAAGAATCGTGCATTTAGGCGTTTATTTGTATAGCTTTTAAAGTTTCAATTTTCCGAAGACAATGTTTGTTATCAACATCGTTTTTACCTGCTTCATTTTCTCATGTTTTTTCGTTTTTGCTCTGTTATTGAGCCGGCACTTGGATTTTTAATATCGATTTTACTTAGTTTAAGCGATTGAAAAAAAATCGATTAAACTAAGTAAATCGCTTAAGCTTCGCTTCGGCTGAAAAAAAATCGAATTTCAATTAAAGTTCAGTTTTTTGAAGTTAGAAATTCTGATCGGATATCGAAAGAATCAATATCGTTTGCGGGATCCGATTGAATTTAGTGAAGCATGTTTGAACTCGAGATATGATTTCGAATTTAATCTCTCCTCGTTGGAAAATCTGCTTCCTGCCTGGAAGATAGCTGAAAATAGAAAATAATTACTTGTTTTAGCGTGGTTACATTCTGTCATTTGGAGGTAATCTCTTGTCGCCTTTTTGTGCTAAATAATTCCGAATGCGTTGGTCTTTATCTTAATACTTTGCAACTTCAAAGTTGTGATTACTTACCTGCGTACTTTCCTGTTGCTCTACAGAGACTATACCATAGCTGCACGGAAATTCCTTGTTAGTTATAACCGCAAAACTGTTTTGAAGCAACAACGGGCAGCCTAAATTCTGTACTCGCGTGTCTAATTAGGTATTCCAGGTATCCTGTTTTTGACAGTATTCCCTAGTTTCGGTTTTCATTTTTTGTACTGTATCTCCAAGAAACTAGCGGTGATAACTTAGAATTCCAATTTAAAATGTTCTTTCTAGTTAAATATTCAGTCCGATTCAATTTATTTGCGTTTGAGTGGGCCTTTTAGCCGATCGAATGTACACTTTTACCTCCAAATTTATAATTTCGATTTAGTCACTAGGCTAATTAAGTGTTAATAAACGAAGTGATTCATCACTTATATAGAATAGCTAGAGCTTTTTGTCCTTTTGTAGCTGTTTGGCTTTTAATTTTTTCAGTTGGTTAAGTACAGTGCAAGTTCATTTGCTAAAAAGAAAGCAAATTACGCTTTCGATTAACAAACTTAAAAATGAAGCAAAAAAGCGACCTAAGTTATGAATGTGGATTTTAATTCTAGATCTCCCGGCTGATTAATAAACTATCTATAGAGTCAGTCCTGAAATAGTGTCAGTCATAAAAGATTCCTGAAATTCACAGTTCTGTTACATGATACATTGTTTTTGTCGTCTTCCTGAGATTATTCCAATTTCTCCAACATTTTTCTCTGACATTTTTCCAATTTTCGGTTTCTATGTTTGTTGGCTTGACAGTAAGGTAAAATCAATGACAGTAGAATTGTTTTCATCAGTGATAAAGGTGGCATCGGCATTTTAAATTAAGTGGTGTTGTGATCTTCGGTACAAAAAGTTGAAAGTATTGTTTAAAAAAAGGAAGTCAAGATAAACTGAATCGTTAATTTTTTTTTGCTGCACAATTGCATCGAAAATCTGTGTCATCGAAAAGGCCATGGTGCAGAATACGTTCTGATATGGAATGGTTTTACTTGTTTGTTTTCCTGTGAGCCTTTTGATTTTTTTTTTGGAATTTCGCTTAATTCAATGCCAATTTGCTTTTACTGACATTAGCATGGTATTTTTGTTTGAAAGTCCCCACCGGATGCTATCAACTCAAACATGTATTATCAGTAAGCCACAAAAACAGAACCAGTTAGCACTGCTAATTTAGGCTTTGGTTGAATTTTATGAAAGGGAAGCGATCTTATATTTCCTTGTTATGGTAATACTGTTATGTGTACACCATATTGCACTATATTGTAATATACGATTTACACTGCTTGGTCAACAAATTAGCAAATCATCACGGCACACATGATTATAGGGACTATTATAGGGAGTTATGAATTTAACTGGTTGAATGTACCGTTAGGTGAATAAGTGCGAGGAATTTTAAATTTTGCCTGTTTAGTTGATATATTTAAGAGAAATGTAAAATTTGACTTCCTGTTTAAAATATTGCGTTTTTTCTTATATTTGAGATGGCCTGGACTTTTGGTGGCATCATTTTTGATATTGACCATATTATCCTCCCTCGACCTTTAGTCCCCAGAGATCTAAACAGCTCTATCGGAATGAAAAATGTGCCGCGTTATTGTTTGCGTGGAGATTTAACTTTATTAACTTGTCTCCTTGTTCCTTGCTTCCACTATTGGAGGTTAAAATCAACCTTCGACAAGTAGGCTTAAATTAAGCTAATCAAAAATATTCTTTTTTTACTATTCCTTTGATGTAGTGTTTTAAACGACGTTACTTCCCCTTGTGGAGCTAGTTTGAACCACCCATTTCAATTGTTTTTATACTGCTTCCCAGACTCGATTTAAAACCATATTTCCACTTTGTCCTCTCGCTTTTCCTTAAATTACATGTCTTACCTGAAATGGACTCTCAATGCAATTGAAACTGATTTGACCAACTCGATTTAGATTATAGCCTATGGTCTAGTTCTAGATAAAGGCCGGTAGAGCTTATGTCTAAGGGCTATTTTTAGTCGGGCGATCTGATAAACCTGAGAAAAGTTATTTCCTTTGTAAAATTTGGGGCACTTATCCGTCATCATTTCGCTTGCTACGTTGACATTTCTCGCTAATAATTCTGGCTTGAAATATACTTGCGTGCGACAAAATTTCCTTTACCTCTAAAGCTGGTGTCATAAAAAATAAAATCGCATTTTCCTACCAAGGCAAAGTTTAAAAATAGCCCCTGCTTTATGGTGTTAAAGGTCACCCTAATACGACGCATAGACTGCGATCCATTGTGGAGTTTTGTGGACTTTCCTCGAATCAAAGATGATGTTTTTGTTGGCGAACAAAAGCTGTCAATATTAAACAATCTATTTTGAGCTGATGACAAATTTTCAGTTTGTTTAACAACTCATTTCATGTTACCTTATTTTACATTTCGGCCCACCCAAACAATGAAGCTAATAAATCTTCTGTGTGGTATATTTCCGGCCTAAAATATCTCGAATAACTGCTTCCTACAGAACTTCCGTCTTTTGAAGCCGGGCATTGCCATTTTTAAAAGCATTTCCATTACTTAGGAAATAAAATATGCCTTCTGAAGTACTTCCCTTTGCGTCAAAAAACTGACGAAAGTTTTATACCCTTTTTAAATGTCATTTTTGAATGTGATAACCTCAAGACTGTCTGGTGCTGCGCGCTGTTAGTTCTGAAGCTTAGCAATTTAATATTACTACCTTACCGGTGCACTGAACTTTAAGTTATAACTTTACAGCAAGTTTTCTTTGTTACCATGTTGAATCGCTTAGCTGGATTTCGAGACTCCAAAAAGACCAAGGTAACATGATTGAATTAGACACTGATCAAGAGCTACTCTGAATTTTGATCAATATCTAGTCCCAGCTAAGACAGAGGGATGAAAGGGTTGGTTACTGACTGTGTCCCCTTTTAATTTGTATTAACATTGGTTCGAAGCCCAACTTGATAGATTTTGATTGTAAGGTCCGTTTTCAGATATTTTAATCAAGTAATAAGCAACCTATTGATGATTTATTTTTTCTGACCCCACCGCTTACGAGTGTGGAGGAACTTTAGACTCGGATGTTTGCATATTAATAGTTTATTGCCCCCATCCCTGAAACGCACATCTCTGCTTTTCCCAGTTTTTGAAGCAATTTTTTTTGACCTAATACGTTTTTTTTGCGTAACCCCTCCAGCCCACGCCCTAAGTGTACCTGATATTTTTCTAAAAACCGTTATGCTAGCCTACTCTTTTTAAATTAAGAATCACTGAACGTAGTGAAGAGTCTTATTTTAGTCGTGATTATTTATTTTTTGTTTTTTATTTTTTGGGGAAAGTCTCAAAATTTGTTCACACTCAAACTTGATTTTTCGCAGTTTGGTCCAACTTTTTGGTTTTTTAAGTTCAATTCAATTTAGTTTGAAGAAAGAAAGAAAGTAAGACACATTAAGCTCTCTAATAAAAAAAGGCAAACAATGTGAGAACTTTTTGGATGGCGTGTGCGACTTCAAGTTTCAAAAATGGACCGCCATTTGAAAATTCACAACGGAGTATAAAAAATCAAAAATTGACCAAGTGTTTTTTAATTAAGTTTTTTTCGTGTAATTCGAAGAGCTTGAACGTGATATGATTGTACCTTCGATCTTTGAAGTGATTTAAAGAAAATTGAAAAAGTTTGGGCTGTTTTTGAGCTGAGAGTGTTTGCTTTTGCAAAATTAGGCTCCACAAAGGATCTTCGAATGTTTTCTTTTTGAGTTTAATACGTAATATAGCTTGGTACAGATACAAAGACCTGATGCCTGTGAGCGCAATGGTGGGGTTTGTTTTATTTGTTCTGTAATTCGGCTTCTGGTGTAATTCTGCGACTAGTTTTTAATACATAATTTCGATAAATTGTTTTGTTTTCGGTTGTGCTGAACTTGGGGACTGAATTTGTGCTCAACCTGTCTTAATGCTTTTTCAACGTTGTTGTTGTCGTTTGTTGAAAAAGATAACAATTTTTAAAATGTTGTTTGATGGCTTGCTTGTAAATGTTCGTCATTAAGCGTAAGCACAAGGTAATCAAGTCATTTTGAAAATTTTGTCGAGCTTTTTTAAATGTCGACCAAGTTGATTTTCCGAGGTTTGTCAAAACCCTATTTTCCCAAATATTTGCCACTCGCAAATTATTGGAAAAAAAAACGCCATAAATTTTGCTCTTGGGCATTGAAATTTTTTTCCTGTTTTTTTTGTCACTCACTCCCTATTTATTCACGCAGAAGGCGTTTATAGAAAAAATTAAAGTCAATCAGCCAAAAATGGATGTCGTCAATTAGTACCAAAGTGGGACCTAAATCTGCCCCAGCATATGGTTAATCTTGTCGAATTACTAATTAAAAGAGATACTACTTTTTGTCAAATTTGAAGAAGGATTTTTTCCCTCATACTCGGAAACTTGGTCGCTATCGAATTTGAAGGACTAGTTGTTATTTCAAATTTCAAGGAACAGTCTGAATTTGGTTTAATGGTGACAACACTGGCGGAAACTAGGATCCTAAGAATAAGACGACGAAGATTGTGTATTGACATGTTTCTAACTTTAATTTGATTTATGTAAAAAGTGAGAAATGGTTTTCCTCTGATTTTGCCCGAGGTAGTCAATACTGCACAGGAAATTGTGTAGCGATTCTTTTGTTATTACAGGCAGAAACATGGGGTTATGATGAAAGGACGGGCCAAACATCGCGCGAAAGAAGGGATTTGAAGAAAAAAATGGGAACAACTATCGGTATAACAGAGCTTTACTTTGAAGTGAAATGTAGGATTCTTTTGCGTAGTAGCAAATTTACGCCAAGCTACGATTGTCTATTTTCTTGATATGAGTTCATTTCATTTCCTTGCAGAGGGTGTTTTATGATTTTAAAGTGAAAAATTTGGCAATATATGCGGATAGTTATGATAAGTTGAACGTGTTATGGATTTTATGTACAAAGTTAACTGCATTTTTCCAGTCGTAACTGGAGATATTTTTTTTCTATTTGAAACTTTTGCTTTGAACTTACTGCATTTGGTTATTCCGTTTCCGTATTTGCAATATACCTCGTTTTTAGCATATCTGATGAATTCGCAATGTTTTCCCAACTTTATGTATATCAAGTAGTTTCAGTTATGTTGTCTGTGAAATTAGCTTGTGTGGAAAACCGCCAACAAGCATGCATACTATGGAAAAATCTACTTTGCTGTAAAATTCAATTCTAAATTAACTTTGCCTGAGAATAAATTTCCTCTTATAATTTGATTGATGCATTTCGTTAGCGTTTTATGTCAACTTTGTCGTGTCTCGACTAACAAATTGAAAAGAAAGTTTTACAAACGATCGTTATTTTAGCTATTATTATCAATGGCGGTTTTTTGATCATTTGTCGGTTGTTCTCAAAGGGGACAATAATTTTTTAATTTTGTTTTAGAAGCAAATAATTCTGCTAAATGCTTTCTTTTCTAATGGTTTTTGATTAGTTATCGCTTTCTTCCGATTTGGTATCTCATGTTTGAGCAGATAATCAATGAGTTAAAAGAAAGCTTAATTCATTTTTCGATAAATAGTTTTATTTTGTTTTGACAGTGTCTGGAAAATAAAAATGAACACAATCATTTCGGCTCACGTGTAATTCGAGACAAAGAGAATAACTTGGTTTGTGAAAATGACAGTCGAGAAAACAGCACTGCCTCTGACGTTACTCCTCAAAGGGTGCTCTCCTCTCCTATAAAATCCATTCAGCACTCTTCGATTCACAAAGCGAAGTCGCACAGCCACAACAACTCGATCGAATTTGGCAGCGACTCCGCATCGAGACATCGGAATAAACTGAAATCACCGAAACGAAGAAGCTCAATTACACTTTTCAACACTCTGAAGTCTTCCACAGACCCTGATAACATACCGCCAATTATGCAGACAAACAACGTAGTCATTGCTGCGGGCGTGGTTGGGAGTGAACAAACTAATGGACAGGGTGTTCCGCAAGGAAATGCAGGAGCGGCACCACCGCAACAAGGAGTGAGTGCTGCAGCTCTGGGCATCCCACCGGCAAGTGCACAGGCCAGATTGAGACAGGCTAAGAAAGACAGAGTGAAACAGCTCAAAGGTATGTCTGTCGTGAGTGGTAGTGTATGTCTTTTTATGTGATTACGTAGCAGTATTTAGACAACCGCGTATTCCTACTCGTCAGTAGGCAGACAAATACTGTATTAACCAATCAGAATCGAGACGAGGAAATTAATAAATAATAATTCGTTATTTCGAAAATTTGCTTTTTCATCTCGATTCTGATTGGTTAATACAGTATTTGCCTGCTTACTGACGAGTATGAATACGCGGTTGTCTAAATACAAATCGCACTCCTTTTATGTGGACACTTTATTGGCGCCTCCACCAATGCTTAACTCTTTTGTTATCAGGGTCAGATGCGCTAAGAAGCTCTTTGTAGAAATGTACCAGTTGATAGTTACAAAGTTGTAACAAATTGCTTTCTTGTTTGCGTCGGTGCAAGTACAAGGAATTTCCTGAATAGAAATTACTTATATCATGATCGGGTGATGTGTTACAATAGGTGATAATTTTGAGTATAGTGCATGAATTAAATTTGAGAACCCATATTATAGTCATTTCAGTTTCAATCAATTGTACTACTACTAAGATAGTTTTTGTTTATACATTACTCTGCCAGATCAAATGCTATTAAAAAATTCAAATTTTACATTTCTTTTGCCAAAAAACTTGGCTCTGAAACAAAGTATAAATATTGTGCAAAGTATAACAAAAAGCGACACATTGAACCTACCACCGATTGTAATATTTCACCCATGATCGTTGACTTTTCTTATTGAAATTTCTTGGATAATGTCAATACTATCAAGTTCCAAACTAAACAAACGAATCCAAATTGCTTGATCTTTTTAAGAGTCGATGAACATAGTGCAGACTCTTATATAGGTCGCGATGTTTTTGTTTTCGCTTTTTTCCGGAAAAGTTCAGGCTCAAATTTACTTTTTCGCGGTTTGACTTTTGATTTTTTAAATTCAGTTCATTTCCTTTGTTAAAACGAGGGCAAACTGCACTATCAAACAGCGATAGTGAATAGCTCACCAAGGACTTTTTGACCTTCTAGTTTCGAAAGTGGAATTTAATTTTCAGATTTCCCAGACAAATAAAAATTTTACTTGCTGATCCAGTTTTCTCAAATTTGGGTTAATTTTATTTTAAAAATGCGAGCTATAAATTGTTCTAAAAGCTCAAAGAGCTTCGGGGGCATTTATTTTCTTTGAAATTCGAAAGTGAAGATTTTTGAAAAAACAAGTCAGTCTTTTGTTTCCATTTTATTTTCGTCCATTGACTCTTTTCCAACTGTCTGTTGGCTATGTTCTTTTCTTTCAAATTCATGTCTTTTGTGTGATGTAGAGTACCACAGACGTGAGAAAGAAGATGCTCTGAAGGCTAAGAAGCAGGCGAGCAGGAAGGGCGCTGGAGCCACAGGCACCCCCACCAGGACCCAGAAAATCAAATTTATACCCAGCATAGTGCTTCTAGAGGCGGCTGCCAGAAACGACCTCGAAGAGGGTGAGTGGGTATAGCTGCATCTTATTGAGGAGACAAACAGAGGGGAGAAACAATAGTTTTTGTGAGGAGTGGATTTTCAGTATTTTGTCGACCACTAAGTTCGTCCTCAAAAAACCTGGGTTTTTAGAGTTACCTACAATTTTGATCCACATTAATAGCACCAAGTTCGAAAACAATTTTTAGGCATTTAGTATCATCTTATCTACAGATTAGACTCTATTTTGTGGCGAAAAGTTGCCACAAGTTGTTACTGTTGTTACGAAAACTTCAAAATGTTATAAAAAATATATTCCAAAGTTTTGGTTTATTATTACCCGTTTCCTCGCTAATCAAGACTAGGCTTAATATAATTAGTACAACGTAGGTTTCGTAACACGGGCTCTGTTTTGAGATTTTTTGCATAGACATTTTTCCTGTTTCAGTACAACGGCTTCTGGCTGAAGGAATTGACCCAAATTCTTGCAATGAAGACGGGCTTACAGCTTTACATCAGGTATGCAGCAAAGATAAATACAAAGCGGTATCATCAAATTAATCTGGATCTGGCGAAGTTGATAGATGGACGCAAATCCACTTTGTTTTCTTATCTTACAATCACAGAGGAAACTTCATCAGTAAATGAGCGAATTAACAATTCAATGACAGACTATTTCGATAAAAAAAATTGTTACCCCAAAATGAAAAGGTAGCTGAAAGTTATCGAAAGAAAATCAAAAATGAAGCCTGAGGGCAGCGGAGGATCGGGGAGGTGAGTTGCGGTAGCCATCACCCTTTTCTAAAGATTCGACCACCAAACCAACAAAACGGTTTCCTGTGAACCAGTTACGGCAACCTTTTTTGGCCGACCGACCCTAAAATTTTTCTTCGGCGCCAATATACACGAATCTGCTCGCCCCATCCCCCTCCTCTTAGATCTGCCCCTATGGGAGGAGAACTTCTTTCCTCCTTTCATAGACAGTTTGTGTTTAGTGCTGCATTGACCACTACCCTCAGATGATGAAACTGTTAGTGGATGGGGGAGCAGACGTGAACGCGACAGACTCGGAGCTGTGGACGCCACTGCATGCAGCAGCCACGTGCAACCACCTGGACCTGGTGCAGTACCTTATTGCAAATGGGGCAGACCTCCTCGCAGTCAACTCTGACGGCAACATGCCCTACGACATATGCGAGGAGACCCAACCGGGTACGCGCTCGTGTTGCTTTAGCTGTTCAGATCATGTTTTTAGGATGTTGTGTACGTTCAGAACTTGTGAACAGTGTTTGTTTCCTATCTAAGGGAAAAAGTGCGAAGATCAGCCTTGTTTTATTATGCACTTTTTTGTTTATTTTTCAATAACTGTTGCAGTTTTTTGTCAATAATTGATCTGCACTACAGCTTCTAAACACTCCATTATCAGAATGAAAAGTAGAAGTATTGCGTGCTTCAGGCGACAAAACACTAGACTTCATTGAGAACGCCATGGCCAGTCGAGGTATCACTCAGCAGATGATAGACGAGAAGAGAGCCATGCCCCAGATCCAGATGCACAGAGACCTGCAGTCCAGTGTACGCCAGGGGTATGACGTCAACCTACCCAGAGAGGGAGACATGGCGACTGCACTCCACATTGCCAGTGCTAATTGCTACGTGGACGTGGTTGCTTATCTCCTGGAGGACGCAGCAGTCGATTTACATGTGAAGGATAAGGATGGCTGGCAGCCTATTCACGCAGCTTGTTGTTGGTGCCACCTGGAAGTAGCCTTACTCTTAATAGAACACGGAGCCTCTCTCGAGACTGTGACGAACAATTTCGAAACGGCATTAGGTACATCCTTGTCTTATATGTGCAGTTTGACCGCGTTGAGTTTATTACATTACTTATAATATTTTATAAGAATATTTTATAACTTAATGAGGTCTTGCAATAAATTTTTTTCCGAATTTCAAAGAAAGTACGGGATATTTTGGTATTTGCCCAACCTAGTAACTAAATAATAATGCTCCTACACTCAGTGGTCGTATATAATGTGGGCCATAATTTGAGGGGGTGTAAAGGGAAAGACTTGGATCTTTGTGCTCCATTTGGTACTGTGTACGACATCAGTCCCAAAATCTTTCTTAAGGCGCCTTTGATGTAAAGGCATTTATTTCGGTCGTGCTTTTTCGGGAAAAAGAACAAGCCTTGTTATTTTTTCGGTTCGACTTCCATTTTTTTAAAGTTCATCTAAAGTTTTTGGCGAAGATGTTTCAAAATCAGCCGGTTCCCCCTTCAATAGAATTTTACACGCTGAAATCCGATTTTTAACCATCTTCAAAGAACATTTTCTGTTTAAATCCCGGCTCATTTTAGAGTGGGTACGGCTATCGACAGAAACGAACTCATCTTTAGCGGAGCGACTGATTATTTATACGACAAAACTGGTTTTTAATTAAACTCAAACACCTTTGAATTCAAGAAATTGGTGTCGAAATAACATATGTGATGATGATGATGTATCATAGCGAGCTTGGGAACGTTTGTTGTACGGTCAGTTTACTTTTTCCAACGCAAATTGCACATTTTTTAAACAAAATTTAGCGCCAAGTTTATTACGCTTGCGATTAGAAAGCGTTGTTAAATCGCATTATTGATTTTTTATTCGGTTCAGCACTGAATTATTTACTCAGCTTAATTTAATTCTAGATCGTGGTACCAAGTGTGTTCAGACTGTTTAGTGTGGAGGTAACGTCCACGTGTGATGCGACAAAGTGATGGGTTCGGTTCAATTTTAGGCAGGAACTGATTTTTCGTTATAAAATGTTTTGTTTTCTGGGAGAATTAATTGTCGGACTTTTGTTTGTCTCCGTATTTCTTGTCGGCTGTTTCCAGATTTTCTTACTATGCAATTTTTGTCTGGTTGAACCAAATTTTGCTATTATTGAAAGGCGTTTGGATTCGTTTCGGTAATTTAAAAGTTAGCGGGCTCTGTTTTTGTAAATAAATAATTTAATTCCTATGAAGTGTCAATGAACGCAGTGAAAATAAGTATAACTCAGTGAAGACACTTCTAAAGGGCGTAATGGGTTTTCTTAATGAACACAGTGAAGAAACTTCTAAAGGGCGTGGTGGGTTCTGTTTCGTTTTTATTTTTCAGGAAAAATTATAGTTTTCTTCACGCTGAAATCTGATATTTTGCGTTATGGTTTTTGATTTTTTTTCATGTTCAGCTCATTTCAGTTGTTAGAAGGAAGGCAAACTTCACTATAAAACAGCAAACTCACGGTCACGAAAATTGTGAACGATTCTAGTTTTATAGGTGGATTGTCGTTTTTCGATTTTTCAACGGAATAAAAACATTAGCTATCGATCGGGTTTTCTCAAATATGGTTTACCTCATCATGAAGTGTCAATCATTATTTTTTTTGAAAATAGGCGAGCTGTAAGGACGAATTATGTGTCTTTTTAATTATGTGTCGTTTTTCCCTGTTTCCTTGCGTTCCTTACACATGCGAGAGCAAGTCTCTTCTAGACGTTATGAGGAACTAGACTTTTTGACGTAAACTTTTTTTCTCAGATATTTATAGTTATCCTTGCGATAAGAAAGGCTATTTCTATCGGGTACTTGGTTTTTCCCCATAAATAACTTTGTTCACAGGACTCATTTCCTTCTTTATTATAAATTCATTCAGTCGATCATTCGGCGCATCTGACGTAGAGGTAATTCTTCTGCTTGAGACTACAAATGTTTATGGTTCGAATCCGGCCGGACATGTTTTTTTTTTGCAAACTGAAAATTTTTGCTAATTCAGATTTTTGTCTATCTGCTGATTTTTGCCGACTTAAATCCCGAAGAGAAGAATTTTTTGACATTTCGGCTTTCTGCAGGTAATGGTGCTGGTAATTTTGTTCCGGACCTTGTGGGCTGTTTTTGCCTGTGTTATAAATTTTTATGACAAAAACGAGTTTTGAAGGCTTTTTTGATTTTTCTTTTCATTTGATTTTGATCACAGTCAGTCATTCAGTCAATCACAGTTCGCCTGTTTGTTGAAATTGATGTTGCTTTTTATTGATTCAACAGTGATTTTTTTTTTCAGTACTTGTTAATTTTGACCCCGTTGCCTTTTTTTGTTTGTTGTGTTCCAATTAAGGATTTCTTAGAAGCAAGTTTAAAAGATCGAACCAATCCCTTTTTACCCGATCACGTGGGTAGTATTATACGAGAACGAAGTTCGTCCAAATGTCCTCGAGTTCATTATGAAGCCATTTAGGACGGATTTGGCAAAAGAAAGTTATTATTTTTTATGCAATAAACGTATTACTACTCCTTGGTTTTATTGGTTTATCTAGATCTCTGCGATGACCCTGACTTCAAGATGCGTTTGATTGAGAAACAGGAGGAGGTGAAGGAGCAACAGAAGGCGGAGGCAGAGGCTGAGAGGTTGAAAAGGGCTACCCGGATCAACAACGCGGCCCAGTCAGGCACAGTGGGCAGTGCCTCATTCGACAACAGCAACTTCGCCAGGCGTAGTGTCGCCAGAGACTCTCTCGCCGGCAATGGACCCCCCGGAGTGACGGACCCGTTCAGAAGACAAGGCAGCAGAAGAAGGTATGTGTTATTTGTCGCTCTATTACTTATGTACATAAGTTCTGATAAACATCATTATAATAAGGCGTTCAATTCGAGAGCGCCAAATCGTGGAATCGATCACCTGCCATGGTAATGAAGGTGTGAGAGGAAGAGCTCTCACTTGACCTCTAGCTTCAGGTCTACCACAGCCTGACCGTTTTTGGCTGCACTGTGGTAACACAGACTTCAAGATGCCACGCGGAATTTCTAGACGCAAAAAAAACTACCTCGTTGCAACCTTGAGCTTCCTCTGCCTAAAAGAAAATAAGAGAAACTGAATATGTTTAGACAGGCTGGATAGCCTTTCATAAATCCTCTGTGAATCACAGAAACCACTATTACTTTTATTATTTTTGAGTATGTAACAAAGAATTCAGTTGTGAATCACTCGTGCCACATTTGTCCAATCGTGACGAACCGAGCTTGAGTGTTCAAAAATTTGAAAGAAATAAGCGTGAGAGTGTGTGCCAGCTTGGACCGTTCAAGGGACGTTTAAGGTCTCGGGCATTCGGCGATGGCATATCTATCCGCGAATAGTTCGATGAGGGATATTTTCTCTAGAGCGAAGTTTTCTAACATCTGTTTCATCTACATCTTAATAGATATTAAAAGCAACAACAGGAGTTTGGCAGTTAATAACTTAGTAGTTCATTGAATTTTGCTGAAAGCTGTTATTGTAGGTATGTTCTTTCAGGTGCATTCTTTTCCTTGCCGTATTTACTCGCCTGAGGTTGATGGGTAAAAACGGCCTTGTTTTATGGACTAATCAACTGGTAGGGAAGAAATTCGATGTGAATTACGGGGTTTCCTCATCTTTCAATTACTTGACGTTATTACGCTTGCCAGGATGTGAAGAAAGTTTAATTAAGAATCTTCAAATGAAAGTGATTACTTTATTAAGGTTGATTTATTCTAAAGAGATTTGCTAGGGAAATTTGCGATTTCATCACTTCTATCTCCTTCAATGATAATCTAATTTTAGCCTTACTTTTTGCACTGTGTGCAATTTTTCTGGTTTTGAGGGTTTTATTATAAAATATTTCAAGTTCTCGTATATTAAGATGTATTGAACAGCGAGAAATAATGAAGCTTCTTAAAATTTAGAGTACCGGATTCTTTTTGTACCCGTGTCACTATTTTTTTTGTACTTTCCTTATGATCTTTTTGAACTAGCTTCAAGATCTTTTATTCGCCCACCTCGCATAAATATAAGTGTTTGAGGCGCTGATATATTTATAATTCAAAAAGCTTGCTTTTAATTCCTTCTCATTTACCTGATATTATTCCACGAAGGTGTAGGAATTGATCAGAACCAAAAAAATCCATGAGCTGTAGACAAAGTTTTGCCGGTTGAACTTCATAAGTAAAATGTAGATGATATTAAGAACAACGAATGTGTTTTAGCTTCAGGTCATCAGTTCGCAGAAGCAGTATGCGAGAGAAGAAAGACTTGCAGAAGAAAGACATGAAAGAAGAATTCAACACAGTATCCAGCGTGGACGAGGGTCAGACACCTGGACAACCAACTGGATCCACACCTTCCCCTGCATCAGACACGCCCTCATCTGGAAGCTACAAACTGGGCGAGGACCTCCCCCAAAACCAGGTCCACAGTTTGCTCGATCGAGATCACCATCACGCTGGTAACAGTGACTTACTGCGACGCCAGATACAACAACAACAATCATATCCTTCTTCCCAACAAAGACAGCAGCCGAGCTACGGAGAGAACACTTCTAGTGAACACTTGCCACCTCACTATGGAGAAGCGATGAATGTACCACCCCCGAATAGTAACTCAAATGCATTCCACCAACACCCATCTCCTCCGTATAACAACAGCAACAATGCAAACGATCCTAGATATATGGGAGGAGCAGGGGATGCTATCTCAGCTGCCCATATGCTCAATCTTCCTGAGGTGCGATTGTGTAATCATAAAGAAATCTTTTGGTTCTATATTTTTGTAGGTTCTATATTTTTGGTAACTTCGATAGAAATATATTACCTGGAGAGCGATGGTAATTTCGTATGGTTCAAATCAATTGAATCAGTGCTCTTCATGCTTTTTGTTTGTTATAGGAGTTTCGGAATTCTAACATGTCCAGTTCCGCTGCAACCACTGATCCATATTCTCAGCAACATATCACCAATGGAAGTCGGACTTCCCCGAACAATGCCCCTACAACATGTTACGGCGGCGGAAACACAGTCCCCAATGTTAGACAGAACAACCCACCTCCAGGTTACGTAAATCACGAACAGCAGCACTCGATAGGACACAGTTCGGGTACCCTGTCTGAGCTGAAACAGAAAAGAGTACAAGAGCGCAACCAGTCTTTGATGTTGACGTCTTCAGGTACATCGCCAAGAACGGATATAAGAAACCAGAGTCAGCTTCGGCCTGATTCTCAGCCACCAAGTCAAGGCCAGCAGCAGGTCCAAGGTAAAACGCATTTCCAGACAACTCCAGTGAGCAACAACACAACTAGTAATAGTAGCCAGAACCAAGGTCGCAACTACAGCCACCAAAGTCAGAACGCGTACTCTTCAAGTGGTACTCAAGGCCACATGCAACAGAGGCCACCGCAGAATCCCCCACGCGAAAAACAGATGAACTCACAATCGGCTCACTCGCTTACAAATTCACTAGACACGACTGGATACCCCCGAATGACTGGAAGCATGGGGGACTTGTCAGCAAACAGTAACAACAAGCAACAGAACTTCTCACAATCCATGCAACTCATGGATGGTCATAACACGGGGTCCCTAAGGGACCAAGAAATGATAGGATCAGACAAGAAAAAGAAAAACAAAGACAAAGCGTGTAGAGTCATGTAAAGATGAAGAAACTATTGATCAGGCGAAATCCAATTCCCGTAGTTATAAAATTATTTTGACCCCTCCTCGATGCTTAGAATATATCACAAGGATAATGGATGAATTGTTGTTGCACCTTTTGTGCCAGATTTTTATTTAAAGAAATATACTTTTTCTATTTCTATCGATGTATAAATCAATTGTGCTGAATTTTCAAGTTTAAAATGCATTCCTTGAGTCGATTATCAAGCGTTCAGATTGGAACTGCTGAAGAAAAAGCTTTTTGTGTTCCAATTATTCTTTAATTCTCCCCAGCTCTTAATCGAAGGATAATAAAGCGCCACTCCTTTTTCCTGCCGTCATCGCCTCAATTTTCTCTCCGACGGCCGTTCGCGGTAAAATCATTGAAAGTTGTGTTTGCGTTTGAGTAGCGCATATTTTTGTTTTGTCATAAGTAATCTTTATTATCGATGTCAGCACTCGTTCATTGAATCGTCTGAGGCCGAGTGGGTTGTCTCTGCGAAAGGTACGATAGACGAATGAAAATGTTGCAAATCTGGAGATGATAAATAAACTATTATGTCACGGAGTGTTGACAAGCGATGCTTATTTTTAATTCACAGGGTGTTGCGGTTGGTTAAAACAAAATTTCGCTTTTAGAGTTCTTGATTGCGATTATTAAGTTCCATTAGCGAATTACACTTATTTGAGTCATGAGTATTCATCATTTTTTTTCGGCTGAAATTCGGCAATTTGACCACGCTCAAATATGATTTTCAAAGTTTGACTTGCGTGTTTGAACGTTCAATTAAGTGAAGTTAATCTCGTTCTCCAAAAGCAAAAATTCAAATGGCACCAGAAAACGTGAAAAAATTGTAGTTTAGAAAACGGGTTTTACTGTGTAGATTTCGCTGCAGTAAAAGAGTTTACCTATATCTCCTAGAGTTCTTTGACATTAGGTATTTTTTTGAAATAGTCAATCATGAAAGATTCTTGAATATGAACGAGCTTTGTGGCCAATGATTCTCTTTCTAAATGCTTCAAATTTTTTTTGTGAGGTGTTATTTCAACATTATTAACTAATATCTTGGTTAATTCAAGGGAAGATCGGATTTTCAACGAATAGAAGATCGAGACGTAGAATTTAAGCTTAAATCTTATGCTCCTATTAGGTATGTGAAAACGTGCAATATGCAAATTTACTCTGCGATGTTCCTGACTACGCCTTTGCGCACGTACATGGCAGCAACACTAAGATAAGTAGGGGAAACGGAGAAATTGAGTCATTTAGATGGGCGGAATCATGTATTAACTAGAGAAACAGAAGAAACAAGAACTTAGAGCGTTAAGAAAAAGGTCGAATTTGGAATACTTTGCCTTCAATTTGAAGATCGTTATCAGATTTTAATTCAAGCAATTTAGTAGTTTTGCGTTTTAAGTTTCAAAGGCAGAAGTTATGTTGTTTCGAAGTTTGAAACTTGAATTTTTATGTTTTAAGTTCGTGCGCTTATGGCTGGGCAAAACTTTGATAAGTTCAACGACTGCTCTGGCCAGGAGTCCACGGCTAGTCTGAATTTCGCATGAGCGAACAATCGCTCAGATCCAGGAAAAGTACGGAGTGGCCGTCCCAGGGGCCAGGGACCACGAGGTCTCAGGTCTTCTAGTAACGAAATCTCCACTTTGGATGTTGAGAGTTGGTTGTGTCTACTTAATTCGTGTCGTCAGTGTTGACAAGTATCTTTGGGGTAGCGGTTCCAGAATTGCTGGTCAGAAGTTTAGTTTGTTTTCAAATTTTCTTCTGAGTGAGTGCGGGGTAAAAACAAACCAGGTGGTAAAGTTGTTGAAGGTGACCTCGAGTTCATTTGAGTTCAATAAACAGTGACCTCGAGTTCATTTTTGTTTCTATTCTTTTTTTGCTTAACTACTCTTCGGTGTTCTTCGTCTTTGCGCACGTACCTGATTAGTAGGGGAAATGGAAAGGTTAAGATGTTTAGAAAAGGCAGTTATGATGTAATTAGAGAAACAGAAGAAATGAGAAATTCGAACGTTGAAGAAAAGGGAGACATTTGATACATTTAGCTTTTATTTTTAGGACAATTATGAGATTTGAGTTCCGGTAGTTTAGTTGCATTTATTTAGTTTTGAAGTTAGAAGTTATTTCATTTCAAAGTTGGAAACTTGTTTTTCTTGTTTTAAATTCGCGCGCTAATGGCATATATATTTAGTGTTTCTAATAATGTCCTGGTAATCGTCGAAGTTTCTTGGTCGTATCATGGCTTAGTTAATATCGGAGTTGGGCAAAGATCTTGTGGTGTTACTTCGTCCACAACGCCGAACCAAAAGCCTGAAGCACAAAAAAATACCTTGAGCGCACACCAATGTGTTATATTTAAGAAAGAAAGGAAAAATTCAATTCAAATTTACAAAAAACAACAGGCCTATACGACCGCTAAGAGTCTAAACACTAGCGAGAGTTCACGTAACTCAGTTTTATGCATTCTCAAGTGTTACTCTCCTCGAGGCCAGAAGACGAGACTGGCCACTGCCCGCAACAAGCAGCACAGCAACAGGAGGCCACCCAACACCGCGAAACACGCCCCCCACGGGAACATCTCCTCGAGCGGAGGACACACAACGGAGCGCTCGGACCACAAAGGCCCAGCGGCAGATACAACATAGCTACCGTTAAGGCAGCAAAACACAGAAGTGTTGCCAAAAGCAACAGAAAAGCCTATTTTCAAAGAACTGAAAAAATATCTTAATTACCAATTAGATTAACTCAAGGACATTTTACCTGTCGACACTTAATTTAAAAGGAGTTTAAAGCTAAAATAGAAAACATTTGGTTAAACAAACACACAGTTGCGAACTTTAAATGATAGTTACAGAAATTTAGCCTTATTCCTTTAGCTGCTGAACTAAATGAAACGACAGGAATTATAGTTATTTACACTTAAATTTCATTGTAATAATAACAAACAACTCCTCTGCAAGCTCCACTCTTTGTCAAATCACGAACACATCAAATCGATTCGACTCGAAGAGAAACTTTGTTCCGATAAAACTCGCACTGACATTAACCGTCATAGTTTTCATTAGAAGTTCATTACTTCCATGCTTGTGCACTTACCTTTTCCATCCATTCAAAGCAGTGAGGGATATTACACCACGATTTCTGAAGACAATACACGGAGAATTTCAAATCAAGTCAGTCGTAACCATGGATATTGATGAACACGAAAGAAACGAGAAAACAGCGAGGCTTATGGATTCAAAAGGAAAATGGCAGGGGATGTACAATTTTCTTGACGTAATCGACGAAACTGTTTCGGTCCCTCAACAAAGAAAACTAATGGAAGACGGGGTTCTGAACGACGAAATGTCAATGGATGGAAGCAGAATGAACGAGACGAGATTGACATCACTGTGCGAAATGTCAGCAACAGGACATGGAACGACTTCAACGAATTGTAGTGGAGGAATTAACCTGACCCCTAACTCAGGAATCCTAGGTATAAAGCCGCCTTCACTTCAAATTCAAGCACAGTACAGCGGGCAGACGACCTAGCCGAAAAGGGAAAACCTGGGATGAGAACATGTTGTCATTTCATTATCATTATTGAAATTGAATAACCACGGCGTTTCAAATGACTGACTCTATAGACTCAACTGGTGGCTTATTGAACTCAAACCAAAATTGCTGAAAGTTTTAACACATTTAGCAGAACCTAGTTCTGATACCTCTTTCACTTAATTGACAACTGATGTTGTTTTACTTCTTATTGTTCTCAACTCGTATAAACCTGTTTTTAAATTGATTAAATTTAAATACACCCTATGTTTGTTCTCAAGTTAATTCCGTATGATTTAACTTATATCAATTCGATTATTTTAAATTAGTTCTAACTTGATTTAGATTTATTAAATTGAATTGTATCGTACATTTATTGCTAAAGTTTATTCTGATGTAAACTTTTAAAATAAAAACGTTTAGTGTGTATTCGATATATAGTTCGACATAGTATTAAAGTAATTGGATTTAGGATCAAATTTATTCTATGATGCTTTATAATTTGATATAGTAGTTTAGTCATTTCGTTTAGCTGCAACTCTAATTATAAACTACTATATCAAATTATAAAGCATCATAGAATAAATTTGATCTTAAATCCAATTACTTTAATACTCATGTCGAACTATATATCGAATACACACTTAACGTTTTTATTTTAGATTTACATCAGAATAAACTTAGCAAACTAAATATAAAGTTCGAAGTTTTAACTAACCAATTTATGTAGATGCCATATTTAATTTGTAACCCCGGATGCTTCGTAATTTTCATTGAAGTGCGAGTGAATGTCTTCAGGTTAGTAAAAAAAAACAGCTTTCAAAATTTTTCTCTAGATACAATGAAAAGAATTTTTTACCCTTAAGAGTGTCAAAATATCAGTCTAAATTGTTGTAGATTTGCTACTTCTAAACGATATGGGCACGCCCCACTACGTCGTGATAAAAGACCTGAACAAGTTAGTGAGCAAAATGCAAAAAAAAAAGAAAACTCAGATCGAGAAACACGCTGTGCCGATTCTGCTTCCACCGGTGTTCATCTGTGGAACGACTGGAGCGTCACCAGTTATTCTGCATGTGGAACGAACCAGCAATCGTTACTATGCCAAATGTTAACAAGAGCAGTGAACACTTCAAAAATATCGGTGCGCGAAGCTATAGCTCATTCGCGGTTTACTTTGATTTGGAGTCTGTGCTGGAGAAGGTGGAGACAGTGAGAAACAATCCTACCTGCTCGAGCACAACCGTAATTGAAAAACACAAACCCAGCAGTTTTTGCCTTGTAGTTGTGGAATCTGGAAACCCGCAACCGGCGTTTTTTCACTTCTTCGAGGAGTGGACGCGATGACTAAATTTGTTCGAGTGCTAGAAGTATTAGCGCGTGACTTTCATAATGAAAAACGAAGATACCCGAACTACCTCGGAAGCACCACTATTCTTGAAGACACTGACAAATGCTGGATTTGCGAAGAGAAGTTTTCCGAATCTAACGCGAAATATTGAACCATAATCTTTTCGATGGTTCATTCCTCGGATGGGCTCACAACAGATGCAACTTCCTGAGACGTTCCATACAATTCACCCCTGTCTTTGCCCACAATCTCCAGAATTGTGATTTGCGCCATGTACTGAAGAGTCTGCGAATGCGAAATACAAATACCAGAAACAACTTTTCGGCTAGAAACAACGACTGATACCTTGATGCTTGCATGCGTTTTTGAAAAGTTTAGATGAGTGTTATGAAACATATAAGCCA